CTGCTTCCCCCTTTTGACCCTCCCCCAACCCGCCCTACTACCTGATACCCTTGGGAAGTATTTGTTAAAAATCCAAATCTAAAATTTTACATAAAACTGAAGGGCTTCCATTACTGACTGTCCAAATTCATTATCTACAAGAACACAAACAATAATTTTAAAAATTGTCTCACCTCAAGCATGCTAATTTCCCATGGTATCCCTGGGTTTTCAGCTCATGACATCACAGTTCTAGAGCCTCAGGGCATCAGGAAAGAAGCCTCCAGTACAGAGGGGATAAATGTAATTACTAATGAGTTTACTCCTTGCAATAAAAAAGACAAAAATTCTCATTTGAGCATAGAGTGCACACACTTCTAGGAGGTCCTATACCAAAAATAAAGCATTTTCCTGAGGGTGATTAGCTCTGTCAACCTCCACCCAACATGTAGTGACTGTCCATTTCAGGGGAGTCAGCCCTAACAAATCATCACAGGCCAGGCAGGCGCAATTGTATGGCGATAAAAAGTAAAGATTATATAGTAAATCATGGAGAAATGGGAGAGATAGTAAAATAAAGAAGTCAGATAGATCATGGTAGCATGCTCACTTCAGCTCCTCTTGGTGATACATGTAGAGATGGAAGAGGGCAGGCGAGAGAAGTGATTTGTTACTAACCAAGGTTTTTAGATCCTTGAGGGCCTGGTTACAGGTAAAGACACGTCACAGGAAGGGGCTGTACAACAGACATAAGCGTGACCGGAAGGGGATGAGCTGGGGGGGGTACACGTAATAGAAAGGGGAGGGACTAGGAGTATACATGTGACAAGAAGGGCAAACCCTAGATTCATGATGGTCATCCTTGAGTGGGCTTAACCTCCCTGGGCTGTCCTTCAGGGAAACAATCTACTACTATCCTTACCAGAAGGGAGTGGGCCCTAGTTGGGGTGGGACAGACTATTACAGTCTGATTGCTCTAAATGGCTGATAACGCTTAGGGATAATAACCTCTGACCTACTTTCATTGACCTCCACGTGTATAGTCATTTACCATGTGTAGCAAGCAGCTAGGTTTGGCATATATTCGGGGGAGACAACTTGGGAGAAATCTTTGTTTCCCACATGTCTACATACCAGATGGATAGATACCTGGTAGATAAACATGATTGTAAGAAGCTCTAAATCTAGTGGAAGAAGTCCATTCACAAATAGTGTGTAACCAAAACATTAGATGCACAGCAGAGAGGCAGGCCTATGGCCTCTCAACCAAGACTTACTGAAAAATAGGATGTCCAAGTTTGGGGTTTTTTTTTTAAGCTGACCACAGTGCTTTAAAGCTGACACATAAATCTACATTTAATACAGTAACTCTGATTTCTACGTAGAAATCAGAGGTAGAAATTACTCCAGTCTCATAGATGAGAAAACAGTGATCTATAGAAGTTTCTATGATTCTAAAGAAATTAAGTGGAATAATTCAAAATGTTAACACCCTA